ACTTTGCTGCTCTTATTTTAGATTTTTTTTTTTTTGTAAATGCTACTTGTTAAAGGTTAGCTCTGTGTCTACACCACGAAGCTTTCTCTCTCTCAGGTTTTTTTCCCCTAAAAAGAGATCAATTGGGACAAACTCTTTAAATAACATTTATTAACTTATATGTATTAAATAACCATGAGACATGAAAACAGATTTTGATAGAAATTGTAATCATATTCAGATCAGAGAAGTTGCTTAGAGTTACAGAAGGCAGCTGCTTACCAACCTGGCTCACTTCTCGAGAAGTGGCCTCAATTAACAATTAAAGAAACATTTTATACAACTCCAGTTTGCCACATTATCACATTTTACATCAAACATGTTTGCAGATTAGTAGACATCCATGGCTCCAGCCTTGTCAAAATATTACACTTTGTTTTTAGCTGAAGGACGCCGCTCTCATTTCATTCCCGAATCTTTATATAGCCGGACCGAGGAACTGGCCTAATTAGATAAACTCCTGGGGAAAACATCAGTTCTGGCATGCAACAGGCAGCTAATATTAACATGTAATAAGCTCACACATAATCAATGATAATTATCCTAACTTAATAGAGACATTGTTTTATTTATGTATTTATTTTTCTCTTTGCAACTAACTGCTGATCGCAGTTATTGTGTTTAGGATATCAAATCCATGATGCACCAGGACCTATTTACTTTTTTTGTCACTTTCTTGAACAGACCACCATAACACATGTGAGTTTGTATTCTGGCCACTCAGCCTGCAACCTTGGCTGGCCTGTTCTGACACTCAATTTATTGTCTTGTGATTTGAGGCTTTCGTTTCTCATTACACCCAAAGTTTTTGTGTCCTTGTGTGGCAAAAATTAGCTTGTGTCTCCGTGTAAATCACCTGTCATATGTACATGCTCCTTTAAGGAAAGGCCAAGGGTGTCATTTGATTCCCGCTGCCTTGCTTTCATATTTATGCGTATCATATTCACATCCGCTGGCCGTGTCTCAGCTGAGCTATCCATCAACACTTTTTATCCCCATCGCACAAACAATGTGGACATAAAACCTTCCTTTACGTCAGCAGAAAATTCTGCTACAAATAAAGCGTGAACAACACACCTCTTTATTTGTCTGGGTAATAAATAAAATGAATTAAAAGCGATAAGTGACACAATTTGCATTAGTCAAATACCTCAGGCTTGGGCATAATGGGCATTACCTGTGGGACAAGGATGTTATGTAAAGTATAACTCAAAAAGCTGAGGACATAGATGATACAATAAACGAGTTCAGAACACTGAAGGACAACCAGACCCAGGGGGACATGTCCTGCTTTCCCAGGACAGGGCTATTTTTCAAACTAAATTGTCAAAAGAAGATTTTGAAAACTGTATTACTCATTGCATTGAAAGAAATTTGTAACTGAGGTGAAATAACATATTTATTTGCAGTCATTTGTTGACATGATGAATCAGATGCACCCTTTTTCACCTGCAACACTGCATCAATGTAAATTACATGTCAGATGGTTATTTCTTTATCAAATAAAGCAAGGAAATTGTATTGTAAGCTATTAATATCTTTTCTTTAACTGCAAAGTAGGTAAAAGCATAAAAAGATTAAAGAATTTACCGTGCATTTACTGATAGGTAAAAAATTTAACTGATAAAAATGGCAATAGGCCTTATACATTTTAGAGTGCAATACATTGCATTTTTTTTTTTTCGATTAAAATGTTCCAATATAAATGTTTTTTAATCCTCAAACATGATAACCTGAGTATATGCAGAAGCAGTTTTAAAATTAGTTTTATCTATAAAAAGGAAAACCTATATAATCCAGGAATGCCTTTTGAAAACATACAGTAATTGACCCCTTGGTAAATCCTGATTGTAAAACATCACAGATCTTGAAAACAACATAAAACATAAATTCCTTATCTTAATAAATAATGAATAAACATAAATAGATAATAAACAACAGCACTGAGATCTATTAGTTTGGAAGGCCTCTTCTCTTGCTATTTTTAAGTCCCTTCTTAAGACTCATCTTTTTTCCTTGGGCCTTTGTTTTATTCTGTTTGTATACTAATATGTATTTTATACTCAATCATTTCTATTTTTTAATTGCATTGTATTGTATTATTGTGTACAGGACTTTGGTCCTGTCCTGTTGGTGTATAAAGTGCTTCATAAATAAAGTTGGTATGGTATAGTATGGAAATAAAATATTTGGTTCTTTAGCACTCTGAGAGCCATGATATTCAAATGGAGGAAACATGGAACAGTGGGGAAATTTTTCAGGAGTATCATTAAATGCTACCAAAATAACCCCAAAAGTAAAAAAAAAAACAAAACAAAACAAAAAACACCTAAACAGCTTTAAAGCACTTTGGGCCTTACTTCCCAGGTGTAAGAAGGAGACTGGGCAAAACCGTCCCCAAAATAAAGCTGGAAAACCACTGTTGATCAAAACCAAATGAACACCCAGAGTTTTGTGAAAATATATGGACGAAGAAGACAAACCTGTTAGGAAGGCTGCTAACCAATACTTTAAACAGTCAAACATTGAGGAGGTGGCTTTAGTTTTTTGTATTAGTTGATTTATTTAGTTTGATATAGAATATTATTATTGTTATCTCAAACATTTATGTCAGATTAAAGCAAAAGAAGAAGAAAACTGTAAGATGGGTTAACATCTATTTTCAGGGCACTTTACTGCAGAGCTATATTTTCGCTTAATAAAAAAAGCTCTATTTTGAGCCTGTGTTGGCTTTATGGCAACAAAAATCATGCTCATCTGCAGCTTGTTGATTCTTTCAATTATTCTGAAAGAAAAAAAAAACATAAAAAAAAAGGCAAGACAACAACAAAAAGGGCATCTAGTTAAAAGCGATGGAATGAAAAGACGTCTCTCTCAATTTTGTACTCTCAGACGGAATCAGTTGCCTTTGGCCTGCTTAGGGGTAGAAGTTGAGGGAAGCGCACAAAAAGCATTGCAATTATTCTGCTCTGGCACAACAACAGAGAGCAAAAGGAGCATCAAAGGCTTTCCTCTGAGCAAAATAGAGCTCCCTCAGAGGAAGAGCACAACCTGCCTGTGAACACCACTGCCTGGACTTTTTCGGCCTCTTTTAAGCACAAAAAAGTACAGCATCCACTGTTGCAGTACCATGAGTTTGCCTTAAAGTTTAAAATTGTTTTGGTTTTTTTCCTACTCTAAAAAATACCATATAAACCAAGCCTAAAAACAGCAAACAAAAGTAATTTTATTCTTACAAATAATCTCTTGTAGAGCCTGTACAACTGGAATTTTGTTTTCTCTACATTTTTCTTCAAACATAACATACAGTGGAGAGCACATTTATTGGAAAACCTGTTATAATTTTTAAATCTTAAAATACATTTGTCTATTATTGTGATAACAGTATTTCACAATTTTCTTTTCATTTATTAATTATCCTTTATATATATAACTGGAATTTTTTTTTGTTATAGACCCTAATATCATGCACTAAGATAATAATTCTAAATAAAGTAAACGATTTTTCCTAGAGATGGCTAAAAATACATAGAGCTATTTTACACCATTAACATAATTGGTGCCTTTTATCAATGGGAGCGATACTTAGTTAAAAAGTGTTTTCTGTCCTTCCATTACAAATATAATCCTGTAGAAACTCAGCTGCACTAATGAGCTTTGGTCCCAGGAAACCAGGTGAGCTTTTTAGAAATAAACATTCTGGAAGGACTGAACAGGAAACATAATAAATATGTGATAAAGCACCTTAAGCCTCTTTAAGTGTCATGGAGGATATTTTTCAAATATCAGGAAAGAAAAAGCAAGAAAATTGAAAATAGGTTGTGTCTGAATTTTGTCCAAAACATATGACTATATCAAAGAGATGGATGAGCAGACATAAGGGCATGAAATTTATATAATTTGGTTTTATTCTGCGCAAATTACCATGTTTACACATTCCTGTTAAGCCTACAATGATTGTTAGTTGTACAAAATGCTTAGAATAAAAAACATTTAATTCTAAGTAGTTCTTCTATTTTAAGCTTTAGCCTACTGCTTTAAGATTTCAATTATAATAAGGCTATGTTAGAATTCTTTTTCTTTAACACAACACAATAATATCTTTGATACATGCAGGAAAAATCTGAAGACAGAAGTTCTTCTTCAAATGTTCCCATATGCACTTAAATCCATTTAGTTAATAAATAGCAAACCAGAAAACAAGTCCACATTACCGGTATATGTAATAATTATTAGGCAGATACGTTATTTCTTTTCAACCCATGAGCCTTTAGAGACACTTAACTTATAACCAGTGATCTAGTTGTAAAAAAAAAAGAAGGGGGATAGTGGAATTTTGAGAGCAATTTGGAATTTTGAAATTTAAAGCATTTGCAAGCATACATTGCCTAATTAATGTAATCTATTAACCTAGAGCAATATGCATGGTATGGTTGTTACATGTCAGGTACATCGGTCATCTAAAGTAAAGAAACAAAAATAGTATTATAAACCAATAAAGGTTTCCTTGTTTTATTTCTTTTTATCTGATCATTTATACTGTTTTTTATGCTTATGGTACCCTTCTATAATTTTTGATCAAGTGTTTTTTTTTTTTTTTTTTATTACGCTTTGTTTTTTTCTGTGTGAACTGTTCCATACAACTAAACTTGTCTTGCTTTAACGTGTAGTCTTTTTGTTGCTCTTACAAAAATTTTCCTTTTTTAAAAACACAAGATACATTTCCCTGACATATTTAGATATCTAAATAGTCAGTTAATTTTGCAAACTGTAAGAAATATATATTTTGTCATCCGTAATACTGTGCCAAAACTATCATTATGCAGCAATTGTTAGCGCGAACAAGCCCTTGATATTTAGCAAAACTTTGAAACGAACCAATTTTATAAAAATCTAAATTTTCGTTCAGGCATATTGAAGGTCCTCTAAGATTGTTAATGGGGTCCTCGCGCACCCGGAAGCTTCCTCTCACATGTTATTGTGTACATTCACCGGTTGCTATGCGCAGTTACTACATTGTCACTGTAGTTTATTCACCTATTTTTATATCTAGAGGCTGATAGACAGATTAAAGGAAGATGAAAGTGGTTGCACTGATTAGGTAAAATAAACTTCTTTTTCTAAACGGCTCATAATTTGCTGAACATCTAAACGAGCATGTTAAAGAGTCTGTCTTCATTCAGAACTTTTACATTTTTGCAATCTTCACCACTTATTGCCATTAACAAGTTCCTGTTATTATCTATATGGGTGAATAGATTTGTTGTGTGATTTTAGCTTCTCCAGTTCATTCCTTCACTCTTTACTGTTTTAACTGTGGGTTTTGCCACTGTTTCTGTCTGTGATGCTGCGTTCCAGTGGGGGAAAAGACAGCTGCTTCAACATGATGAAGTGTGTTAGTGCTGGACACAAAATCGTGGCTCTTGCTAACCTGCGTCCCGCTAAAGCAGGTAAAGAAAATCATCAGTTGTGGTTTAAGTGTGTTCCACAGATAATCTGAGAAGCTGTATTTCATTTAGGTTGGCAAGATGGAACTCAAAGCTACATGCATTTTTCTTTCACAGATGAGTTACACTTTAACCATTATGGACAAAGTGTAACTCATCTGTGAAAGATGAGTTACACTATGGCCATTATGGACAAAGTGTAACTCATACAGTTACAGAGATAGAGAATGGTTAGATATGATGGCATTTGACCTTTGTCTAATTTTTTAGTGAAATTATTTTAGGTAATTTCTATTAGTTCTTAGCACGTTTCACTTATATATTCAAATGTCAAAGTATATTTTTTGTCCAATATCGGACCAATATATAATATTAATATGGGATCAGGACATCCCTATAAAGCGCATTGCACCAAATACATGCAGGTGTAAATATGTACTTAAAATCCAGTATAAGAATGAATTTGATTACTGTCAGGTCCTGACCTAAAGGGAAAAGACTGTAAAATCAACTTCTAATTGTATGAGGAGAGAATCATCCACAAGATTGGGGTTTTGACAATAATTTTTCACAAAATCCGAATTAAATGACTGATGTTGTAGTTATTATTTTGAATATTTTTAGTTATTAGATGGTCTCAAACTAACTATTACTGCTCATTTTAAAGTAAGTTTTTTTGGACTTCTGCTTACATCCCAATTTTTATTTATTCATTTTTTCAAACAAGTCATCAATGAATATCCTTTAGAATTTGAGTCTTAAACAGTTTTCTTCGTGTCATAGATGAATTGGACAGCTACATGTACCAGACGGTGGGTCATCAGGCTATAGAGCTGTATGCTGATGCAATGGAGTTGCCTCTGTATAGACGCACCATACGTGGTTCCAGCCTGGACACCAGCAGAAACTACAGTGTTACTGAAGGGGATGAGGTGGAAGATCTGTATCAGCTGCTCTACCAAATTAAGGTAGGTTTCTCTTCAATAAGAATGTGTGAAATATTTTTATTTTTACCATTTCTCCTCCTGTCATTTATTGGACCTGCACACTACTGGAGAAAAGGGAAACTGCCAAAGATGCAATATAAACAACAGAAAATTGGTTTATAAACCATTTTTGCATGGTGAAATATCAGAAAGATAAACAGATTGTTTGGCATTAACTTTCAACCTCTGTATAGACTGGCTGTAGCATTTCACGATCATTAGTGCTGCATGAATGAGTCAACATACCTAATCTGATTAGTAATTATAAGTAATTATATGCAATGTATACAATAGATCTCACGTAACAGGTTGAATCATCTCAAGACAAATAAAGAAATAAAATGTCATGGTCAGGTCCCTTGCACTTGCTGTGCTCTTGGAACAACAGGGAATACACACCTACAAAAATTGTGCATGTAGGCTTGTTGAACTAAGAGAGATAAGTCTTTGGTTCTGCACTTTAAGTGCAAAATGTTCCCGCCATGCGGTCAAACATAAATCTTGGCACATTATTTAGTTAAGGATGTGGGAATAAAGATCAAGGTAAGTTAGAGGAGAAGTAAAAACTTGCCAGCAGTTAAAAGAGTTTAGGGTTAGGGTTATAATTTTACAAAAAACTAGCAGCAACTCTTAAAAATCAAGTTCAGACTTAAGCCCTTCAACCTAATTGCTTGACAGTGACCAGCAAAAAAAATCATGCAAATGGACAGATAAAAATGTTTAGAGACTGGATAATGCTGGATAGTGTACTGTGTTTTTTTTAACAACCATCCCTATTTCTATCTCATGTTGCTGGTGAAAGTCCTGACTGTATTATTCGTCCATTACGCAGGAGAAACTATGGGGCACATGCAGAATCCTCTTAAACAGAGAACAAACATAGAGACTGGGAAGAGAAATTAGAGTGGCATCATGGTTAGAATGTGGAAGGAAGCCCTAGTGAAAGACTTAAAAAAAGAAGAAATGGAAACTTCTTTTGTGTTATAGAGCCTTTTATGCAGCTGAACTTTTTTAAGAGGGGACTACGAAGCAGGTTCTTTTGCTCCCACATAGAACCTGAGGTTCCTTGTGGGATTTGCCGTATTGTGAACTTTTTTCACTTTTTCCTGGGTCTCTACCCTACACTGCAAAAATGATCTAGATATAAGTAAAAATGTCATTTGCAAAGAAGAAGATGTTCTTAAAAATATTAAATTAAATGTATTTACCCTTAATTCTAGTAGGTAAATGTGATTAGTTGCCAATGGAAATTGTGTTTTCACTAAAATAAGACAATTAGATAAAATTCACTTCAAATAATTTTTCTTATTATAAATTAAAAATTTCTTGTTCCATTTGCAAAGTGTCTCACATACCTTGTCAATTCAAGAAAAAATTAACTTATTTTAAGAAAATAATACTTTTTTTTTTTTTTTTTTTTTTTACAGTGTAGGCCAGTGGGCCTTAAATGTACATTTCTGATCCAGGATGTACAGGATGGCCTGCTTGTCTCTGCCAGTTGCTGTGTTTTGTCTGCCTTTTCAAAATCTGATACAATTCTATATGTTTGCATTTTCCTTCTTCCTTGAGATCCTCACTTCCTGCTACTTATGAAGATTGGCTCGTATTAATTCTCACTCTCCCACTGAACTGCGCAAATTGTCGCTCCCAGATCTTGTTTCTAGCTCCTGTTATATTACCTTTTATTGGATCAACCGTTAGAATACTACAATGCAAGAAACCCCAAACTTCTCTGCTAAATCTGTAAGGTTGAAGGCTTCCAGATCATGATGCAACAGATGGATGGATGATTTTTGTCAAATTTGGACAACAGCCTTTCCAAAAAACAACTAAAACCCTCTTCCCACATTTGCATTAGCATTAACATAATGTATTTTTAAACTCCATGGGGTGGGCTATGCCTATATATCAAATCATGCAATTGATTGTGGAAAATTATATAGCTCCTGTGCGGTGGATAGTAACGTCGGGAGGTTGCTATGTTAAATAAAATAGTAATATCCATAGTATGCATTCTGCTACCTCTGATGCACTTCTATTTTGGGTTAAGTATCCTTACTGATTTGCACTATTCAGACTAATCTTCACTCTGTTTGTCTTAAGAAATAAATTATGTTCCACTGATATGGTTTACTACATTTTGGTTTAAGTCCATTGTTGTGAGTCTAATCTATTTTACAATGATCAATTGTTGGAGCAGGGTCAGAGCAGTTGACTTGAAGACGCTCAACAAGCTGTTAAGAAAAGCCAATTTTGTTCTGGAAGCTAATCTAGAACGTATTGAGAAGATTTTACAAAGATCAATCATTCCTAAAATTGGATTCTCACTGGGGGGTGTCCTGATATTGACATGAGAAGTCGATCTGATATCAGCCAAAAAAATTAGGCCTGCCTCTAAAATCTCAGATATTAGAAAACTCAAAGTAACACTTTGCTTCTATCCAAATCCGTTTTAAGTTTATGTAACTCTATTGTTTATTGTCCTCTGTTTGACAAATATCTCTTGATCAAGCCTTTTTTTTTTATCATTCCACACTATAAAATTAGTTATAAAAGTGTGCATGATTCCTGCTGATATTGTATCGGGTCATTATTGGTATCAGTCAGTACACAAAGCTGCTCTATCGGTATCATAGTTTCAGGACATTCCTAACTTCGCTGTTGACCCTAAAGCAGGGATGTCAAACTGCTTCCAGAAACGTGTGGCTGCAGTTTTTCTTTCCAACCAAGCAATGGCCCACCAGACTCCATTCATCTCATCAAGTGAGTCCAGTCTTAACATGATGACTTGATGAGATGAATGGAGTCTGGTGTGCCATAGCTTGGTTGGAAAGAAAACCTGCAGCAACATGGCCCTTTCTGGAACCAGTTTGACACCTGTGCCCTAAAGCATCCAGACCCACTGTAAAACAGACCTCCACTGGAGATTTTTTCTCCCTATAAGCATAACTATCTACATTAACTCATTGATTGAACCACTACAATATGACTTGCAAAAGCTTTTAATATACCTTCAGAATTTCTAAGTGTTTTTGAATTTAACTGAGCTTTTGTCAATCACCTTTCGCCCTCTCTCTTGCACTTCCTTAATTTCTTCCTTAAGTATGGTCATTGTGATTTGAAAGAAGCTTTTATTTAGCTTTAGTTTGGATGTTGATGAATGCATGAATGAATGAAAGCTGTATAATGGATTCCTAACCTTCCGCGTGCTCAAAGTGCAGCATTATGCTGCTGCTTATGTTGAAGCATCAGCTGAATCGTTGCACTCTTACCAACACCTGTTTTCATGTGCAACTAATCTGCTCAGAGAAGTAAAAAGTCATGTTGGTGCTTTTAGTCTGTCTCATTTAGTATGCCATAACTTGACTTGCAAGTGTAGTTAGTTTTTCTATCCGCTTCTCTCCGGAACAATAGTGTGCAGGCTGCATCAGTTGATCAAAGTTTTATGTGCAAAGTTGGAGAGAGGTGCCCTTCAACAATAGCTTCACAGGAAGTTTCTTTCTTTTTTTTTATCTCAGTTGACAGAAGATCAGATACAAAAATTAATCACCTAATGAATTTTTCATCAAATAGCCCGTTTGCCAGGACGCTGAGAAAATATTCATTTGATGGCAAATTATGTATGAGGACCTCGGTGGTCCACTGCGGTGCAGGGGTGGGTGACTGACAGCTTTGAGATAAGTGCATGTGTGGTTAACTCAGCGCTGCCTATCTGACCGCCTGCAGCCATGAGGAAGCTACCTGGACAGAAACTTCAACAGCAGCAAAAGCTCTTCCTGCTGTCAGCGCAAACAGTGTGCGGGGATTGATCCTGTGTGGTGAAACACGTTATCCCCGCTGCACCCCCTACACAGCCTCCTATTTTAGCCCGCCTCGTCAAAATGTAAACGTCTGTTATGGGGATTGTGGAGTTTATTTTTTCAGATGAGTGTAAGCTCGATGTGCTGGAAGAAAGACTGGATATTGTTTTCTTTTGGTCCCTCTCTAAAGAGCTGATGTGGAGACATGTTTATCTGGAACGCAGGGTTGCTCCGGGGCTTCAGCATGTCCACACGTTCAGGCTTAGTGGCAAAGGCTAGTCAGCCTGCCCCGGGGGCTTTACAAACCTCTGCCTCCTTTTTTTATCATCTTCTTTATAAATCACCCAACTTTACACGGTCATTTAAATGGGGGGACTTTTTTCATGTTTTCCTTTGCTGCATTTTAAGGCAAACTTCACATAGCCTGCTTTCTGTTTTTACACCATCTCACATGCACATTTAAATATTTATGTTGCATGTGATGCAATACCATCCTTGCCTGTGGCCATTTCTTTAATTGCAAAAGCCTGCTAATTTCCCATTTCCAGGGCTCTTCAGGCCTGACCTCTTCAGTCTGACTGGCCATAGATCAGGGCAGTTGGACTCCCATGGGGCCCTTGCAGGCCTGCAGAAACTCCAGTCATGTCCCCATTTACCCTTCTCACCGTCATCAACAATCCTTCACCATAAACAACAGGCTTCCTCTTTTGCTTACTGAGTGATGGCAACCATAAGAGTACAACTTGCTGGCTCAGATTTCAGCTCAGCTGCTGCTCTCTGAGGCTGTTTCCCACTCTGATCTGGGGCCCTGCATATATATTGGTGTTGCGTTGTATTTATTTAGTTAATTTTCTTAAAAAAAAAAAGGAACTTGAAATTTGTCTTTATGTTCTTAGTCAGCATGGTGAGTTTTATGTGCTATTTTCAAAAGAAAGTTTTTAAAATTTCAATATGTAACATTTTTCAGTTATTTTTAATTGTTTAGGATTTGATAGGCAACTATAATTAAGAATAAACATTTTAGAATTGTGTTTTTCCTTCAAATAATTGTATTAAAAACTGATTTATTTTCCCCAAAATATAAAAATAAAAAGTTTATTTAAAAGCAATCTATCATAAAACAGTTTGAGTAAAGATAGTTGTGATGACATGTTGTACAGAATTAGAAAATATCTGTAAAAC